ATATATATATATATATATATATATATATATATATATATATATATATCATATGCTTGAAAAACTTAAGCTAACAACTACTAATTATGATTATCACTAAATTATTTTTTAAAAAATTATAAATATCTAAAATGTATTTTATTATTTTCATCAATTATTTAACCTCACATTTAAATTTCAAAGTATACATGCTTTAAATGGTCAAATACAAAAAGCACTAACTAAGGAGGAATATTCGACTATTTTATCCTAAATTATAAATTCCTTCTAGAGTTCAGTGTACAATAAAGTCATATGTCCTAACAATTTAGAATTTATAATATGAAACTTTTGTCATTATAAAATATATTAAAAATTATATATTTAGTAAAATTAATAGTATTTAATTTTTTATTTATAATTTTTATTAAAAATTTATTAAATTTTTTACATCTTCTTATATCATTAAAAATAATCATTTTATATCTTCTAACTATAGATCCATGAAGCATATGTTTAAATGATCCTATCCATTAATAAAACAAAATTATTATACAATTTATATAAGTTACAAACGATAGTGTTTATATAGGAGCTAACTATATATTTTAGGTCATGAACATTCTAGATTGATCAAATATGAAGTTGTTGGTGAACCTTTATATCGTGACCAAGGTGTCAGCACGGTTTGGTCCAGTTCCAGATGTACAAGGTTGCCCACGTGGATGCTCGAGTGGTGGTGGTGAGCATCGGGTCGGGTTGAGTTTTAGCCTCGTCTCCCGAGTGCAGTTTTCTCTCTTGACAAGTGGCTTGCTTCTTCGTCGCCGAGCTCCTGCACTCAAGTCGAGATCGGGAGGGAGATTTCCTGACTCGACCTCTTTAAAGCTTAAGTTAGCTTTGAGTGGAATAAGAGAGAGTTGAGTGTGCGAAGTCCCCTCTTATTCGTAAGAGAGTTGGCTTTTATACCTGCGACGGGGCGGTCAATCATACGCGGTCCTTTAATGACCATCGACTCCTCGAGAGGATAACTTGTACCCTATAGTCGAGCGCCAATCGACCCGTACGGCTTGATACCGTGCAGCACCATCCCGAGTTTTGCGTAACGACCTCGAGGTGTCCGACGCTATATGGGTCAGCGTCGTTCGACGCCAACCTGTATTTTGTGGAGCAGCTTTGTCGTGTTTGGTGCCGACTTGTATGACACCGAACAACGTGAAGGTCGCTTGATCTCCTTGTTTAGGTCCGAGGTGTTGTTCTTTGTCAGTCCAAAAGTCCTTTGTTTGTTGCTACGTCAAAATGTGCCCGTTTAAGAAGTAAATGCTCAGCTTTCGGTTTGTGAGACAAATAATTTTTATTATCATCTGCTTTATGTATCCTTTTAACTATCAGAAAGACTCTTTCTCTCATCACATTAGCGCAAGCGCAGAGGTTTTTCTTAATCTATTTTCATTCTAGAAAATACACCTATGTTTCCTCTCGCAGAAAGGAATATAGAAACTAAATCCATCTTAGCAATAATATTCTTAGCAATAATATGTTGCCACTGAAGGCAATGATCAGTGATGAGGGAAGGTTTGTTTCTTTAAATGTATTAATGGATCACATTAAGCGCCTTTTATTGCATAGCTTTGAAGGAAACAACTATAAAAAAATTACATGCTTTGAAGGAAACAACTATAAAAAAATTACATTCCTCTATCTTTAAGGAGTACAAACAACACAGGTACACATGTATATGTTTATTTATGTATCCATGTGTACAATTCCATAGTGGGACAAATACTTTTGAAGTAGCATATTCACATTCCCCATCTGCACCAAGAACACAAGAAGAGTCTCATGCTAATTGCAATTGACGAATACTGGGAACACAAGAAGAGTCTCTCTTCCAAAGTGGAGAGCACCTTATTCTTCAACAGAGCATGAACAAGCCAATGATCCTTGCATCATTATTCCAGTCCCAGCTCAATTACTTGCATCCTGTCTTATGTTCATGAACATCTAAGGTTAAATATGGAATTTGCAAAACTACAATGGAGAGAAACATGATTGCAATATAACATACTAATATGCTAGTCATATAACAAGTATCTTCATGAATTGATCAGTCTCCAGCATAGGTATTTTACATTAATAAACAAAAACTAGGTAAAAAAACTAATTTGACATTGAATTTTGTGTTTTAAGAGAGATGAATTCAAGATAAGCATGCACAGTTTTGCAAATATTAACAGGTTCCAGAGACATGGGCAGGCAGAAAGTAAAATCCTTTAGTACATTCACATGTAAGCATAAGAGACGTTCATATGCAAAGCCATGAAATGAATCCATCAACTCTTTACACTACTACATGCACACGCAGTCAACATAAAGAGTTCCTGATATTTACAAAGCTTCTGCATTCAAAGGGGCACAATGGTTACATAAGCGACAACAGCAACAGGCAACGGGGACATGTTGCTTCTTCCTTGAAACGTGAATGAACTTCTTATATATTTGAATGCATAATTTTCTCTTTAGTTCTCATCTGGTAGGAAGAAATCAAACGTGACATCAACGGTGGCAGATGTTTCTCCAGTGTCTTTATACTCGGTGCTTGATATTTTCCCTCTGTAATCTTCTTCAGAATCTTGGTGCTCCGGCAGCACACGCTGGACGGGAACGGTTACCGAATAAACAGTACCAAGGTCTGTGTCAGTGGACATATTAAGTTGAACTTTGTCCTGTGAGTCAATCTCCACAAATTTGGATAAGGCTTCGATTATATTGCCCACAATCTTTTGCTTCGCTTCATCACTGATTGAACATCTATCAGAGAATAATATCATTTTAAGCCTCTGCTTTGCGATTCTTGCATTTGTATTCCTTCTTGCTTTCGTTGTGGGAAATAATAATTTCCATGCCAAACCAAGACGATCAAAGAAGCTCATATTGACAACATTTAAAAGGTTACCGTCAGCATCTTGGTTTATCGTTGGCGACAAATTATTTCTTCCAATCCCAAGGCAAACTTGGCTGTGGTTTGCTGTATTAGTAGCTAATGATTCCATATGCAGCCATTTATGTGCAATTTTGAGATCACTAGCTCCATTAAGGAAATGACCAAAGTGTACCTGGGTTATAGGAGAGCATAAAATGCTTCTCAATTATAGAGGACTGAGGACAGAGAAGATCCAAAGATATAATCATAATAAAACAGTAATGAGAACAAAGCAGCTAGAACTTCTTATAACTCAAAATATTACATGCAAAAATAACTTTAGCATAGAAGTAAACGAATGAACCCCTAATTCCATTCAAGTGCATGGTAGATTTTCTTTTTTTCTTTTATTTTGCATTTATGACAATTCACAAGTGGAGTAACAATTGCCAGTGTTTTTTTTGTTGCAGACAATAAGTTAGAAGCTACTAAGTATGGTTAGAAATGTTATTCAACAGAGATTTGCATGTCATTCATTTCCTGTTAAGTCTACAAAGTGCTATTTCTTCTAATATCTATAATCCTAAATTACTGCTAGTTTGTTGCTGTTGTTGTGATATTCATAATCCTTAAGCAACTAAACATGCATAAATATGCACGAATAGGTTGTACGAGCCTATATAGCTCTGAAGAATGAAGGGTAGAATGGACTATTTGCAGACCCTGTTTAAAGTAAACCATTAGCTAACGGCAACTAGACCAAAGTGAACTATGACCATTTGCGTCATGATTATTATTATACAACACTATAGGAGGTTTATATTGCTTCAAGACTCTGTGCTTTGGATAAATGTTTAGATGTTGCACTAAGGGCATGAAGAAAAACATTAACAGGAATCTCAGTTACCTTTTCAAAAGCATAATAGAATATACTCTATGTAATTAGGAGTAATATCTAAATCATGCTAACAAGAAAGTGAATCTCCTCCCAACCATAGGTGGGATGACTATGCAAATCTTTTCCCGCTACCGAGCTTTGTTAAAGGTAATGCTCTAATAAAACTAAGACCCATCAAATCCATCAATTTGTCCACTATCTGAACAACCCTTGATTATTCACAAGTGTAACGTTAGATGTTCCACTTAGATCACGATGTCGATCACTTACTAAGACATGTTTACTAGAAAAACAAAAAAAGAATTGCTTCCATGCGGCGTCGGCCATGGCTTTTTACCCTCAAATTATGCAGCGCAGTTGTGCATCATTAAGAAGACAGAACGAGGGTTTAATATTCACAATTAGTGTTCCGCAACAGCTCCTCCCATCTATTCTCCTCCATTACTCAAAATTAGGTCTTCTGCTTTTCAGATTCTACAAACGACAAGTCTCGGGAAAACGGGGATTTTTTTTATGCAATGAGCATCATCCTCATATACTCTTTTAAGAACATAATCCTGTCAATAATTCAAGAAAAGAGACTCAGCACACAAATAAGAAAAAGGAAAAAGTAATGCGAAACCGATCTCAAGCAAGAGGAGTCTCCGCAACTCACTCTAACTCACACATGGGACAACTCCTACATCTCCAGAAAGCAAAATCCATCGAACCTTTACTACTTCCATAGGGCTTAAATTATATAGATAGATAGATAGAGAGGAAGATAGATAGAGAGAGAGAGAGAGAGAGAGAGAGAGAGAGAGAGAGAGAGAGAGAGAGAGAAAGAGAGCGCGACCTTAGAGGAAGGAAGAATGGAGTTGAGAGGGCGGTAATTGGGATGCGGAGTGCAGGCCCCGACGAACACCTTGAGATTCCCGGAGATCGCCATTAGCTACTGCCTCACTCACATACCGCTCGCAGAAGAAAGAGTTTGAGATTAATGTGCCCTACGCCTTTTAATTTTGCCTAATTTTATTTTTTTAAAGTATATCCAAAATACTTTTTCAAAATGTTTGAATATCCAAATATCCTAACAGTTATTTTTTCCATTCGTTATAGTATTTTTGATCTGTTATAATATTTTTTTTAATCATCATAATACTATAAATCTAAAAATAATACAAATCGACTCATACCTTTAATAAGATTAACTCAAATATAAAAATTTAATATCATAATGATCAATGAGCAATGAAAACTAAAAGGACACAATAAATATATATATTTTTATAATTTTATAATATTTTTAATACTTCAATAAAAATTTTAGAATGTTATTAAAAAATATTGTGTGTGAGACAAATAGAAACCATTTGATATAATATTTAAATAGATATTTATAATAGTTTAAGAATAACATCATTGGATTAAAAAAAAGCTTGTTATATTTTTTTATCAAAATAAAAATACAATAAAACCTGTTTGAAAACACCATATATGATATTGAAATGAACATCTAACTTTAACTAAACTAATTATAAGTATAAAAATATGATATTATAATAATCTACGAGAAAAATATTATGTTACTTATAATATTTTTCAATAGTTTTATTGTGCTTTTAACACATCAATAAAAATACTATAAATATTATTAAAAATTCCTATAAATAAGTCAAATGAAAACACTGTAATAATTTAAAATTGATGAAAAATTGAGGATTATTTTAGGTATTATTTAAATTAAGAGGTATCATTTGGGAAAAAAAAATAGAGAGTCCCATTTGAAAAAAAAATACTTTTTTTTAAAGAAAATCACCTTATATATATATATAAACATTATTATTATTATTATTATTATTATTATTATTATTATTAGTCGTAATAGTAACAGAGAAAAAGCTCACTGTGAGGGCGCAAGAAGTCTCCGTTCAGGTCCAAACAAAGCCAGCCTTAGTCCTTCCGGTGGCACTCGTGTCAGCTCAGGGAACATATTGATTGGCACAAGTTAGCACGCACACAGAAATTGAAGGTATATAAAAGGAAAATTAGATGGATAAAGAATTTTAGTTCAACTCTGCGTTTCTGGGCTTATCAAAATTATGTAATTTGATGTTCATCTTTTGTGCCGGAATAAGATTATATATATTGATCTTTCCGCAACTTCTCCTCCTCCTATAATTTCATTTAATCTCCTTATGAGATTTTGCATTTTTAGCTTTCCAAAAGTTTATACCAATCTCTTGAAGCTTATATCAACCTTAGATTTATGATCATATAAATCTTTTCTTTTAAGTGAAAGAAAGTTTTGATACAATATGCTTTGTTCCCAAAAGAATAATTAAAAAATCAATAATGTAAAATAAAAATATCAAAATAGTGCATGCATAATTTATATGATTTAGCATCTTTATATTAAGTAATCATAATTTTTTCTATGTGAGAATAATTATAATATGATGCACATAAATCCTTTCTTCAAATAACTTCAATAAAAAATCAGGAACTCCTCCCTAAATTAGCTTTAGCAATACATTTATCAATGCATAATGGTAAATATTGTATCTTCCAAAAGCTAATTTTATGTTATCCTCTATAATTAACTACCCATAATATCTTTATTTTTAAAAATTATATTAGGATATCGAAAGTAAAATATTTAATTTTATTTCTCCTCGTACCAACGTTATCGAAAATACCATACGCTAATACATTATCAGTGGTAAATCCTACGATATTTTAATGATTGAATATTTTACTTTTGGATCGTAATATAACTTTTACAATTATAAAAATCAAGATACTAAAGTTAATTAATTATAATTTATCAAACAATAATATGTAATTAGTCCACCCACCAATCGAATTATAATTTGCTGCTCCTACAAAGTCTTCAAACATTGGCAGCTTCAACATTTGCTGCTTGTTTGTTGAAGCTGTCAAATTAAGCCTCCTTGAACACTGTTCATACCATTTGTACCAAGACAAAATATTTTAAAGGAGTCAAAGCCGGTGCAAAGCACAAACCAAATTGAACTAAGCAATTAATATATGGCACGATGCTGGTCTTTGTCGGAGTCTTACTTGTCAGGCTGAAACTCTTGAGAAGAAGGATGTGATAGCAGCATGGGAGGAAGAAGGGCAAGTGTTCCTGCTTGATCTGATTCCAAGGATTTGGATGGTTGAAAGCGAAGAAACAGGGAAGATAGATTGAGGAACAAGCACCGGTCTTCTCTTCCATCAATCATAGTAGCTGGGACATGTCGAAAGAGGAAGTGAGATTCCTTCCTTGTTTCTTCCTCGGCATCTACTTGATTCTTATCACAGGTATTCCTTGCACACACCATTAATCTTCTTTTTCAGATGTTTGATGCACAATTTCTTTTAGTCTGCCTCGTCAGATCCTGTAGAAGCATTCTTCTCAAAAACTTGTTTTTGCTCGGTCCTCGACAACAGGTCACGCAATCTCTGTCGCGACAGACAGAGAAGTCCTGCTCCAGCTGAAGGGCTCCCTTGAAGCCAACAATCCGATACGCCGAGGCGCCTATGCTCGGTGGAACGCGTCCGATTCTTCCCCTTGTAATTGGCCCGGCATCACCTGCAACGATGCCGACCGCGTCACCGGCATCAACCTCGCAGAATCCAACATAAACGGAGAAATCTTCCCCAACTTTCACCTCCTTACTGAACTCACCCGGCTCGACCTTTCATCGAACACCATCGGGGGATCCGTCCCTGCCGACCTCAACAAGTGCAGCGCCCTCGAGCATCTGAACCTCTCCAGCAACGTCATCAGCGGAGAGCTGAACTTGGCGGGCCTAACCAATCTGGTGATGCTCGACCTCACAAACAACCGCTTCAATGGCAGTATCCGCTCCAACTTCCCTGCAATATGTGCCAATCTCGTTAGCCTCAACATCTCGAGCAACATCTTCTCCGGCGACATCACGGGGTGCTTCGATCGGTGCCCGAAACTCGAGTATCTCGATCTGAGCTCCAACCAATTCAATGGATATATATGGCAAGGCCAAAACCTCCGAGAACTCTTGGTCTCCGAGAACCTCCTTACTGGAGAACTTTCGTCGAGCACATTCACGTCCAATTGCGCCCTCGAAATCTTAGACCTGTCGATGAACGACTTCTCTGGGACGTTCCCCGGCTCGATCGCCAATTGCTCGAAGCTGACAAGCCTGGACCTGCGGGACAATGCATTCAATGGAGAAGTTCCGTCGGGCATTGGCTCCCTCTCGGAGCTCAACTCGCTCAGACTCGGGAATAATGCGTTCGACCGAACCATCCCAGAGGAGCTGCTGAATTGCTCCAAGTTGGTGTTTCTTGATTTCAGTAATCACGATTTCGGCGGTGACATCCCCGAAATCTTCGGCCGGTTCGTGACACTGGATCACCTGATTCTTTATGGGAATCAGTACACCGGAGGGATCGAGTCCTCCGGAATTCTCAAGCTTCCGGACCTCACGACATTGAACTTGAGCAAGAACAGGTTTTTCGGCAATCTCCCGGTCGAGATCACCACGATGCCAAAGATCAAGATCTTGATTCTCGCCGACAATGAGTTCTCCGGCAGCATTCCGCCTGAGGTCGGCGGCATGGCCAGGCTTCAGTTACTGGACCTTTCGTACAACAACCTCACCGGCTCGATCCCTCTGGCGATCGGAAATTTGACATCCCTCCTGTGGCTGACTCTCGCAGGCAACGATCTCACCGGCAACATTCCGCCAGAGATCGGCAACTGCAGCAGCTTGATGTGGTTGAACCTCGCCAATAACCGGCTCTCCGGCAGGATACCGCCGGAGATATCGGCGATTGGGAGGGACCCAAACCCAACGTTCGAGGCCAATCGCCGTGAGATCCGCCATGTCACCCCCATCTCCGGCGATTGCCTCACCATGAACCGATGGCTACCGGCGAGCTACCCGCCATTCAACTTCGTCTACACGCTGTTGACGAAATGGACATGCCGGACTACTTGGAATCGGCTCCTGCAGGGTTACGCGGTCTTCCCGATCTGCTCCAACTCCTTATCGCGAGTTCTAACCAGAGGGATATCCGGCTACCTCCAGCTCTCCGGTAACCGATTCTCGGGTGGGATACCGCCGGAGATCGGCCGGATGAGGAATTTCAGTATGATCCAACTTGACGGCAACCGGCTCTCCGGCCGTCTCCCACAGGAGATAGGCCAGCTGCCGCTCGTCATACTCAACGTCTCCAGCAACCGGCTGTCCGGCGAAATCCCGCATGAGATCGGCGGCCTGCGGTGCCTCACGATCCTGGACCTCTCCCAGAACAACTTCTCCGGCAAATTGCCATCGAGCCTGAACGGCCTGTCCGAGCTGAACAAGTTCAACTTGTCCTACAACCCCTGGCTCTCCGGGACGGTGCCGATGACAGGCCAGATCGCCACATTCGACCGCGACAGCTTCCTCGGGGACCCCCTCATCAGCTTCAGCGCCTCGTCGAACGGCGGAGCGAGCTTCGGCTCCCCGCCGCCGCCGCCCCTCGCCAGGAACAGCAGCGCCGCGGGCGGGGGCGGGCGATGGAAGTCGGTGCTATTGGGGGTCTTCATCGCGCTCACCTTGGCCTTCGTCGGTACGCTGACGCGTACAGCTGTGAGGTGCTGGCGACGGCGGGAGCTGCTGGCGCGGGCGGAGGAGGAGGGGCGGCGGCGCGGGACACGACGGAGGTGCTGACCGTTCAAACGAAGTTACAAAACGGTACGTCATTTCCTCATATGAGAATTGACAATTGGTTTTTGGTCATAACGGGTATGGAAACGACGGAGGCGCTGACGAATATGCAAATATGGAGTAGAGAAGAGTAATTAAGTATTTAAATTAACTGAAGAGAATCAGATTTGACCACAAAATTGGAGTGATATTGATTGGGTCGAAGTCATTCGTGTTTTTCATGTCTCATTTCGTTGGTGATTGCTATGGTTGGTGGCTTTTAGTACTCTATATGAGATTCAGATTTG